CCCCCACAGCCGCCCACCGCACAGACAGACACACACACGCACACACACACACACACACACACACACACACACACACACACACATCGAATATTGATTACCCCCTGCGCTTTCAGAGGGGCCGTGGACCTAGATTTAAAGCTGGGCCCCCACCCTCGAAGGCAACACGAGCTATTTCACGACATCCGTCTTTGCAGCTTAGTAATAAATTACGGTGTGCTGAGGGGATAAACTGTATCTTAAAAAAGACTGCAGGGCCCTGTTGCCATGACAACAGTGTGCACACCACCACTCCTTCACTGTCAACGCCACACCTGGCACAGAAAAGCGGCTCTCCTGTGTCCCATTAGAAGCACTAGCTGTGTGTGTAATGACTTAAATGACAAACTACAACCGCCCCATGGGTGTGCATCTTTAAGGTGCAGAGATGGTCGAGCTCCATGCTTAACCAGGGGACGGCAGCCCTCACCTTGTGGTAGCCGACCATGGAGACCGAGAGTCTGCGGTCACCACCTCAGGCCTGAGCTGCTACAAAAGCCTAACCTGGATCTCCACCGGAGACCACCGCTGCCGCTGAAGGGCACCCACAGGAACAGGACCACTGGGGCGGGGCGCGGACCCACAGCACGGGTGCACTCAAGATGGGGCGGAGAAAGAGGACGAGGCGTACGACTTCCCACAAGACTGAGGCCAACACAGACAAGCCACATGGCCTCAGCACACGAGCCCTGGTGGATGGGCGTGGGGGGGCGGGGAGGGGAGGGGCCTTCGGGGCGTGTCCCGGGCGTCACTGACCTCATGGTCCGCGTGTCCCACCCTCGGACAGCCGAGTCGTTCGCCGTGGCCACCTGGGTGCAGCTGTGATGCGGGCTCCACCGCCCCGTCGTGAACTTCAGCTGTCCCTTCCCTTCCAGGGACGCCGAACTGGCCAGCTGCAAATTGGGTGATGTTTTCAAAGGAAGAAGACAAGTAATTTGAAGTCTCTTCAGAGCATTCAAGAGGGTACCTCGTACAGGCTATCGTTGACGATAATTACTGAAAATAACTAGGAAGCTCTGTCTTTGTTTCCTCCCCTTGGAAGGCAAGAATGTTTGAACCTTATTTGGAAAAAAAATATATAAAACTGAACGCAGCAAAAAATAGAAGCCACTTTAATAGAGCCTCTACCAGACAGGACTTGCCAGTGTGGGATTAGGGAGCATCCACTCAAATCTGAAGACAACACGCAGCAGCTCCAACGTCTGGCTTCCTCCAAAATCAAGGACGAGGCCGCCGGTCCGCGCGGCCAGCCCCAGGCGGAGGACAGATGGCTGCGACCCACCCACACGTGAGCTCAGACACGTGCCCTCCCCTCCCGGCCACGAGGATCTTGGCATCCGTTACTCGGGGGTTAACTAAACCCCAACGGTAACGGACGGCGGAGACCCTCAAGACCACCAGCACAGTCGAGGCCGGGCCCTGGTGCGAGCCTGGGAGAAGGGCCCCCTCCGCCCCCGACCCCGCTGCCCCTCCGGCCCTCCCGCTTGCCGTCTGAGATCTTATGCACAAAGGCCTATCACGCGGTGGCGTCTGGAGGCAGGAGGGCTCCAGGCTTGTCTGCGGTCCTCGGGTCACTTGACCCTCCGTGATTCACTTCACTTTACCCTGGACACTAGCCTCGCCCTGCGGACACTCTGAGAGGGACCCGGGCACGGCCGTGGCAGCACTGGACAGAGGCCCGAGGGTGTCATCGGGACCCAGACTTGGCCCCGGCTGGGGTGGGCACACGGAGTGGGCGGCCAGTGCGAGGGGATGGGGCAGAAGCCTGGGGAAAACAGCCGGTTTCCGCTCCAGAGAGCCTGGCCCAGTTAAGAAGCCTGACAGCGGGCACGTCTTTAAAAACGACTTCCGAGTGAGAGCCCCACTTACTCTAGCGCCCACTGCAGCAGAGGTCGCCCAGCCAGGACACGCTGACCAGCGGCAGTGGCAGCTCGCCTCTCTCTCTTCTGGACAGTTTCGTGTCTCAACCCGCCCCAGAAAAATCCTTCTCCCAAAAACCCATTTTCCTGCCTCACTGATTCAGCAAATCACGTGGATGATGGGCCTCGTGCCCGCCCATCTCGGCCACTGGAGTCCTCGCAGGCACACACGCCCCCCTCCCGGGGACTGAAGGGCTAGAGCTGATGGGATTAAGGAGGACGGGTGTCTGTGCCCGTAAGCGCTGGAGGAGGGACGGGAGGGACAAGTCACATCTCTAAGGAGACGCAGCGTCCTGGGTTCACGGGGAGCCCTGCTGGGTGCCCGCCCGGCTCCTGGCCCCAGCCCTGCCCTCCCCCGCCCCAGCCCTGCCCTCCCCCACCCCAGCCCCTGCCCACAGCCCAACGAGGCAGCAGAGGAAAGAGCCCATCCCCCTGGAAAAGCGGGGGTTCTTGTTTTATAAGACCCCAGTTAAAATACCTGTTCTGCCATTACAGACGGAGCACCACTTATTAATCTCCTCTCCACAAAAGTTAAAGCGTTAGTCTGGTCTGGGCAAGACATGTGTGTTGTGTTAGTGTTGGGGGGACCCAACCAGGCATGGCGGCGGCGGAATGAAACAGGGGTGCCCACCCGCACCTCAAGGAGGAAGTGCCCGTGCTCTGGGTACTCCCAGGGCTCACACTCAAGCTGCCAGGGAGGCTCCGGGGAACAGCCATCACCCGAGACAGGCCCCGGGGTGCCTGGAGTGGGGAGAAGGGGCAGGGAGAGCATTTCCTGGGCCGACAGCTCAGCGGGCGAAGCGGGGCCTCGACCGCCAGGGGGACACACCCCCAGGAAGCTCCCCGTGGCCACGCAGAGCCGCACCCAGCAGCGCTCCGCCTGTGGAGCATGCCTGGTGGCGGGCGCAGAACTGAGCCTGGCCAAGGGCAGCGCCGCAGGGCGAGAACAGCCAGAGGCCGGGCAAGACGTCAGGAAGGACAGAGCGGCTGAGGGACAGAAAGGGGGCCGCCGGCCAGCAGGGCCTGGGTGCTCCCACGGGACCTGGCAACACCCGCTGCCCAGGCCGCGGCTCAGGCCACCTGGGCAGAACCGGGCCCGAGCTAGCTTGGCAGAGAGGGCCACGTCGGGGACCCAAACCCAGGGCCGTCCCAATGCCTCCCCTCCAGGCCAGCACCCTCACGGCCACCCACGGAGCGCCCGCGCCCTACACCCCACGAGAGGGCCCCACGGGGGACCCCACTGACCGTCAGACTCACCCCCAATCTCCTGGAGGACATCGACTGGCTCAGCCGGGTGGGGAGCCCGCGGGGAGGGGTCAGCAAGGGCCAAGGGGCTGGAGGCAGCAGAGGGGCTGCTCCTCTGATGATGGGCAGTGGTCCCGCCCCTTTTCCCCTGCATCAGGGGCCACGGCTTCTCCTTCTCTCGTCATCTGAGAGCAGAGGCAAGTCAGCCCAGGGGCAGGGGTGCTGTCACCTTCAGGGGCACGTGGGGCGCACAGAGCGTGGACCACGGGATGGCCTGACAGGGAGGAGGCCCGGCCCCCAGGCAGGACGCAGAGGGGACCACATGGTGCGGCCACCACAAAGCCACGGAGGAGAAAGGGATGGTGGCAGGAGCCTCATGACGCAGGACCTGGACTCTCAGCCACAAGGGACAGCCAGTGAGAGCCGGTGTGGGCAGAGGGCATCTCGGCCCTGCCCGCAGCAGTGACAGGCACAGCCTCCTGAAGAGGGGCGGCGGCACAGAGCCCCGTGACCGGGAATGGGCCTAAAACGCGAGCATCAGACACACAGGGTGAGCTTCTCCGCGCTGGGCTTTGGCTTTTCCAGCTGTGGCTGGACGTTTAACATCCACATTGACAGCACCAACCAAGAAACAGTTTTATGGCCTCTCCTTTAGGGGAAAAAAAACTAGCCAAAAGAAACATGTACAGGTGCCATTTCAGTTTTCTGAAGACTAGTTAAGTAAGATCAACAATCAGGTACATAAAACGGTTGAGTATACAGCTCAGCCATAAAAGAGAGAAATTCTGCCTTTTGCAGCTACATCGATGGACTTGGGGGGTATCATGCAGACAGAGAAAGACAAATACTGCATGATTATCACTTGTATGTGGAATCTAAAAAATACAGCAAACTAGGGACTATAACAAAAAAGAAGCAGACTCACGGGTATAGAGAACAAGCTAGGGGTTCCCAGTGGGGAGAGGGGAGGGGAGCGACAGTGTAGGGGGAGGGGATCGAGAGGTACAGACTATTACGTATAAAATTAAGCTACAAGGATGTAGTGTACAACACGGAATATAGCCAGTATTTTATAATAACTATAAATGGAGTATAACCTTTAAAAATTGTGAATCACTACATTGCAAACCAGCTATACTTAAATTAAAAAAGGTTCAGTATATTTTCTAACTAATCAACATTCAGTGTTCTAATTAATTTTCCAACAAACACGTGGATTCATTATCAAACTCTTCAGAAGCATAAACACATAAGGTCCTATCATCAGAAGACAGGCACTGTAAACTTAGCAGAGTGAATTCCTAAAGAGGCTGCTGTGGGAAGCACCATAAAGTGTGCCAAGCGGGGAAGACCCGTAACAGTGCGCAAAGCACCCAGGTCGAATCCTAACAAGCGACGCTGCCAGCAAAACTCTCTGCACTTGCTCTACTCCGACTCCATCAGGGCTCCAGCAGAAGTTAAATCAGCAAAACTCAACAAGCACTGTCTGCTTCCAAAGCCCACACTGAGGAACAGCCCGCGAGGAACCCAGGCCCGGGGTCCAACCGCATGCTGCCACAAACGCGTCCGTGAGCTCAGGAGCAGGTCCTCTCGGTGGAGCCCTCGGGTGAGACGCCAGCCCCACTGACACCTGGCCTGTGGCCTCACGAGAGACTTGAAGTTGCAGACTCTTGACTGTCCCCGCAGAAACCACATGATGGCCGTGGTGGGCAGCGGGAAGCGCTAACTGGGTGGTCAATTGTTAGGAAGCACAGATAACTGATAAGGTGTTAACCTGAGGCAGGGGAGACTCGAGTGAACTCAGCAGCAGAGAGACGGCCCCTGCCCCGCCCCCTACTTCACGGAGAGGGTAGGTGTCTCGCCCTGGGCCACACAGCCGCAGTGCAGAACAGGACCAGCTCCAGTTCCAGCTCCACTGCACACTCTAGTGCAGGAAACACCAGGGCAACAGAACGCCATGCCCACAGGTGCCGAGACGGCTGCAAGGTAGATTTTAATGAAAACCTGGAAGAGATCTCACCATCAATTTTTAAGGTGCTACTCAGGGCAGCCAGCATGGTGCAAGTCGTAAGGTTAATCAATCACTTTTTCTGGTTTCCTGGTGACACACAGACAGAACTCAGCAAGAACTCTAGAGGGTGCGATGCACACAGTACTCTGCTTCCCAGCATTAAAGAGAAATATTCAGTGCTTCCCAGTCCAGAAGGAATGATTAAAGTCTCCCCACATCCTCTCTGAAGGAGTAACTAGTGCAGGACAAGAGCAAGAGAAGGCACCTTCTATGAACAAAATGCTGTGACTGGAGCCTTCAGGAGCGGCTCAAGGGAGGCATGAGCTTCCAAAGACCAAAGCTGCACCCGCGCCAAAAAGCCCCACGGCGCCGACAGGGGACCAGGCCTGGGGAGGGGCCAGGCCTAGAGGACGCGGGACCGAGCACGTGCTCATCAGCACTGAGGGTGACGCGGGACCAAGCACGTGCTCGTCAGCACTGAGGGTGACGCAGGACCAGAGGGGACAGAGAGCACCACCGCACCCCCTGGAAGGAGAGCCTCGGCGAAGCCACAGCAGGGCTGCAGCTTTCGAGCGTAAGAGACATAAAGTGTCCATGCAGGCAAGTCCACTGCATGCCCTGGCCCAAGCTGCCAGGAGACAGCAGCTTGTCACACAGCAGACGCCACCACCACCGGAGCCCCTCTTCCCGTCAGACCCCGCAGCGCCCCCGGGGACTG